ACAGGGAAGCATGTGGGGCTGTATTTGATTGCTGAGCCGTCTAGTTGAGTGGGGGCTGTGCTTTAGGAGTTCCTGGTATTTTGCTCAAATTGTTAAATTGTTTATTTGAGTCAGCACTTTTATCTTTCACTTGGATTTAATTGTGTTCCTTAGTACTGACTGTTCCGCACTGCGTGTCTGTTGCTCCTCCTTTACACCTTGCCTGTCTCTGATCGCTTTGCTGCCCCAGCATTTCGGAGTGTGTTGGGAGGAAGGCACATAACATTTCACAGAGCAGCAGATGCAGAGGTTTAAGTAATAACAAACCCACTTGTAGCAGCAATGGCAGGAAGCATGAGTAACGCTGGGAACACGCTGCTATTGCTGCAGTGTTTTTGTAGCGGAGCCTCTTGTGAGGGAATTGCATCTGATATTTTGTAGTGCTTCCTGAATCACTTCCAACATCTTGTGATCTGTCTCCACAGGCAGCTCTTTATCCTTTGTCCACTGAGGCTGCGAGAGTGTTGAGGAAACCAGAACAGTTATCATGGAGATGCTTTGGAGATGGGGAATGACACAGATACAGCCCAAGGCACATGGCTATGGGGTTTGCTCTGCTGCGGGGTGTTACAGGATTGTGCAGCTCAGTGTAGGATGACACATCACCAGGAACGCGTGTCAGTAAAAGCCAGTGAGGGTCTAGACTGGAGTGATGTGCTGGTGACACTGGGAGAGAGGTGATAAGAAACACTAGCCTGGATTCCTGAAGTCCTTACTTATGTCTGTTTCCATACAGAACCCCCCCTGCCCCCTTTTTTTACTTGAAATACCGGATTCACTTCCTCCTAGCAATACTAAAGACCCTTTTATCTTCAACTCTGTCTAGACTAGGACTTCAAGTGTGGTGGTAGCACCTGTTGGCTAACTTCACTAAAACAAACTAGACCAGATAAGGCAGCTGGCTCTTAGCATGCCAACCGAAAAGTGTTAATGCTGCCCTGATGATATCACACCTTTTTATATCTTAGTGCAGAGAAGACCATATGCTGCTGTGGCAGGGGTGTCTGTGTGTTTTGGCACCTCTTTTTCTCTTGGCCTTCTTTGGTCAACTCCCTGCTGAGCAGGAGCTTGGGCTTGCTGTGACCTGTGCTGCCATTGGAGCCCTCCTCCCTCGCTGGTGGTACTGGACATTGTCACCTCGGCGTGCTGAGCTGGGTGCAGAAGGGAATGGGAAGGATGAATAAGGCCATTAAAAGGCAAGCGTAGAGTCATAGATAGCAGTTCTAGAGGAAAGATGTAGTGAGATAACTGCTTAAGACTGGACTAAAATCTCTGCTTCACAGTTCAGTGATTGATTTTCAGTTTGGAACTTGACACGGTAATACAAGGCCTAAATTTAATTTTCAGTGTGTAATATTTTTGATCAAAGACAATGTTTGCAAAGGAATTTTCTACGTGTGTGTCTTAAATTCTTCCCTACAACCTTGGGTGCGTTCAGCTAAACACAGCTGCTGTGAATATCAGCCTTCTCTCCTTGCTATGGATGTTTTGGGTTTTTTGAATATTAATTTTTCCTAATTCTAGATGACCCACTAAATCCTGTCAGCAATGACTGACTGTTGGCTGGGACCAGGGACTCAAGTCATGGTGTCATGGGGCTGGAAGGGTGACCAGCTCCAACACCCCTGCTCAAGGCAGGGCCAGGGTCTGTGGAGCAGTGCTCCTCGAGACCTGCTGCTGGGCCCTGCTGGTATCCAGCAGGGAGGAGCTGCCTTGTGAGTGCCCTAAGATAGGTCAGCCTGGAGTTCTGTCAATCTAACAGGAGAAGTATAAGACCGGGAAGTGTAATAAAGTTAGTGGGAGTGGGACCCTCTGCTGCAGTGTTCAGCTGAAGGATGTTTAGTGATGCGAAGGAGAGATCTGCCTATGAGAGCGTCTGTGGTCTAGGCTAGTCACGGTCAGCTGGTGGAATGACAAGGTTGTGTCTTCAGGTATGACTTCGGGGTGGTGGGTTTCTAGCACAGCTAAACTAGGTTTCTCTAGGTTGTTGACGTCTTGTCCTGATATCCTGGGTAAATGTCGAGTGTTTAGGTATCAGACCAGGATCTGCAAGTGTGTTGACTATATTTTCATGATTAGTGTTAAATTTCATAAATTGGTGCAACACAAATAATTCAATAGGCTTTCTGCTGAAGGAGGGCAAGAGGTATCAGGTTGATACCTGAAGAGGCTTAAGATCATTTTTTGGACCTTGTTTTGTCACTTTTTTTCCTGCCTTGTTTTGCTCAATGGTAACTAGGAGTGGAGAATGCTGTTTGGTCCCCTTTAATCTTTGAGTCTTTACAGACTACTTCACATTTTTCTCCTCAATAAATTGGCTTGCAGCAGTGTCCCAAGCTCATGTTATGTTGAGCACTGAGCAGGGATGTGCTGGGCTCGCACCTGTGTGGCACAGAGGTGAGCATTTGCTGTGGACCACTCACTTGTTTAAAACTGTGTTTACATATTTTATGTGGAAGGGTGCTGGTTCCTGTACAGGCAAGGGCAGTAAATCTGTTGTCAGAAGGGCTTGCACATATGTAATGAGAGCAGATTATTTCTGTTTTCCCTTATTTTTGTGCCTTGAGACAGGTGGACAGATTTATAGAGGATAGAGAGTATATGTTTATCATCCTTTTCTGTCTTTTTCATCACCCTCCCCTTCTGGTGACCCCATTTTCTAGAGGGATAAAGCGAGCAGCCCAACCTCATTTCTCAAATCTGTTGTAAAGTCTGATTAGAGAAATGGAGGAGCTCTGGTACCGTGCGCATGTGCAGCCTGCCTGGCCCCTGTTGGTGCTCCTCGGGGCAGCTGGTCTGCTGCAGCCTTCCTGCGTGGTTCTTGCCCTGCAGGTACAGTCTGGTCTCTGCTGGTGCCACTGTCCCTTTTTGGGGACCCTGCTCAAACAAGTTCGAGTCCCGTCCCCTTTCTGTCTCTCCACAGGTGTACCAACAGACATAGGTGCAGCACTGCTAACATGGCACTGTCCCAGACAGGATTGCTTTTCCTGATAGTATGCAGTGCAGGAAGGTTGGGGAATAGCTGATGTGAGCTTTGCTTACAAAGAAAAGCCTGGTATTGACTTTGTTGTTAAAATTGGTGGGGTGGGAGTGTGGGGGTAGCTGACCTGTGACCATGTGTTAGATGAATGTCCTGCCTGTTCCATGAGCAGTGGGAGGAGCAGGCTAGTTCTCGCAGCTGCAGCTTGGTGCCTCCTTGGAGAAGTAGAACATGCTAGCTCTTTTACAGCAGTGGTGGTGTCTGCTGCTCGGGAAGGAACCCTGGCTCAGCTGCTGGGGTCAGCCCACCATGGCATGTTACTCCAGGGAGTATTCATGGCAGAGGTCCTGAATGCAGAAGCTGGTGCCTGGCTCCTGTCCTCCAAAGCCTGTGCCGTGTCCCGTGGTAGGCAGCAGTGAGTGCTGGCTGGTGATTTGGGTGTTGTTGTGGAGGTAGAAGTGAGATCAGAGAGCTGGAGCAGAGAAAGCGTTTCCTGATGTGGGTTTTTGGTGAGGAAGATGCCCTTCCAAACCCTGCTGTGGGCTCCTGTTGGCTTTTTGAGGAGGAGGAGAAGACATCACCCTGAGGAAGGGGCATGCATGGCCCAGCTGGAGAGGTCAGTGCAAACTTCAAGGTTATGAAAGGTGAAAGAGCTGCAGGGCAAGGATAAATCTGCAAAGAGCAGATTTTGGTTGCTGGTGAGCTTCAAGCCCTTCCCATTCATGTCCGGAAGAAAAACAGGTTTGAGTAAATCCCTTGGGTGTGCTGGTGTCATTCTGAGACAGCTTTTCTGGAAATTCAGGAGTAAATTAGATGTGTTCTCCAGGCTCCTAGCATGTATCCAAAGTAGTGCCAGTTGTGTGTATTGCACCTGTGGCTGTCTGAGTCCTCACTTGTTTGGAGTTTGCCGGTCCAGCAGCACCCATCCCATACTGCACTGCTCTGGCATCAGTTGCTCTGTGACGCTTTGGTTCCCTGTGCTTGCTCCAGCTAGAGGGAAAGCTGCAGCTACCTGGCTCGGACAGTCATTCATAACTGTGTGCAGTGCCAACGCAAACTGCACTTTTCCTCCTGCTCAGTTGTCTGTCCTAAGCAAGTTTTCTGTTTCGGATAGTGGCAAGAGAAGATGGTATTTAGGATAAGCAAGTTGTGCATAGTGGGTACTTGATATCTAGTAGAGAAAGTCACATGGTGATTGTACTGCTTATGTGCTTAAGAAGGTGCCTGATGCAAAGTAAGTTTGCTCTACCTGCATATTATTGGGATGATCAGTAGCATCTGCAGTTTTGATCTTGGCTGATTCCTGGAATTGTATACCTATATTAGCATTGAGCATCTACATCTAGGTTTTGGGAAATCTGTTAACCTCACCAAAGCAGGAATGAGCTAAACGGGGTGAGGGGACATTAGGAGGCTAAATACTTGTTTTGCTTCAGCTTAAACAAATAGAAGATTTTGATTTGAACAGTTTCAGACCCTGTGGTACATGGATAGGTATGATTAAAAATGGCCATGGCTCTGTGTTAGCATGGGAAATACTGCCTGTCATTGTCAGTGGACTGAAGTGAGCTTGCTTTGCTCTTGACTTGTGTGGAAGTACTGTAGACTGATTGTTTTGGTGTTCTTCTCATCTGAATTGAGCCCCAAGTTTGCTATAAATATTTCTGTTCAAATAATGATGCAGTTCTTCCATAACCACTGCCATAACCCCTCTGGTCTGTTCTGAGAGCCGGTGGCAGTTTCTCTACCCAGCAAGGCATCAGCTCCCTCTTTAACTCAAGTTGTGTGTAGGGTCCTGCATGTGATGATACGTCCTGGCCTGTCCCCAGGTGGTGTGGGAAGGCAGTGTCCCATCCAGAGCTGTCCGCAGTCCCTGGTTTTGAGTGTGCTGTCAACTCTGCCTGTCTGATTGTGAGGGCTTGGTAAAGGGAAGAGCTCAATTCTTGTGCTTTTGCTGTATGCTGTCCCTGTCTCTCTGCAGAACATTGTGTCCAAGAACGCTATGCAGTACCGTGGGAATGCCCAGCACGATGCGCAGGAATTCCTGCTTTGGCTTCTAGACAGAGTCCATGAAGATCTGAACAATGTAGTGAATTACAGTGGCATGCCTCCACTCAAGGTAAGGGATTTTGCTGGCAGCCGGCATGGGAGAGTAGCTCTAACTTTGCATACAGTCTTTCTTTTTATATTAGATCTCTCTGTTGGCTTCTCAACTCTGATAGTTTGGATGGAACAAAAGCTTGCATTAAAATACTGTTTGTTTCTGTCCCAGTGAATGTAACTAGCTGTTTCACTAATCCCTGACAAGTGCTCCCCAATACAATCATTTGTGAGTGGTCACATACTGCTCTGCAAGAGCTGGGAGGTATTACAGGGGAGGGACTGCCAGACGAATCATCTGCTGTGAGATCCCTGCCTTTCCTTGGGCTGCCCTAGCTACCTCACATTCCTGCATACCACCCATGTGAGCAGAGTGCACTTATTTAAAAATCTGGTGATGTTTTTCTGGTGGTTTTGGGCAAGGAGGGCACAAATTCGACTAGGAGTACTGGAGCTATCTGGTGTGATGCACTCCTTGCCTGGGTGTGCTTCTAGGGTTTATTCTTCTTTTAGCCACCGCTGGAGGATGATGTGCTGCTCGAGGGACCAGCCTTTCCAATCAGTAGTACTTTCGTGCAGGAACTCTTTCAAGCCCAGTACAGGTATGATATTTTGTAGATTTTGAGGCATTATTGCATGTATTGGTGACCCCACATCATGGTTTAAGCACAGCTAGCAACTAGGCACCGCGCAGCTGCTTGCTCACTCCCCCCTCTTCCCAGTGGGATGGGGAGGAGAATTGGAAAAAAAATAAAACTCGTGGGTTGAGATAAGAACAATTTAATAACTAAAGTAAAATAAAATGTAATACAATAATAATAAAAATTACAATAATAATAACAACAATAATAATTGTAATGAAAAGGTATATAAGAAAAAAAAATAAAAGCCAGCCCCCCCAAGTGATGCACAGTGCAATTGCTCACCACCTGCTGACTGATGCCTGAGCAGCAATCTGCCCCTCTTGGCCAACTCCCCCAGTTTACACACTGAGCATGACATTCTATGGTATGGAATATCCCTTTGGCTAGTTCCAATCAGCTGTCCTTGCCATGCTCCCTCCCAGCTTCTTGTACACCTGCTCAGTCAGCAGAGCAGGGGAAACTGAAAAATCCTTAACTTATCCTCAGTGCTACTTAACACACTGGTGTTCTAGTTGTTGCTGTCAACATTATTCTCCCACTAAATGCAAAATACACTGTACCATCTACTTAGAAGATTAACTCTATCCCAGCTGAAACCAGGACACCCCAATCTAATTCTGCCCTGATGCTAGCTCCCAGTACAGTTGAGACTGGTGTAATTTTGTTAACAGCTGTTTCTGAATTCCTGCTGAATGATATCTGAACTAAGATCTTGCTCCAGAGGAGAGAGAGAATTTCACTACTTCAAGTTTGCTATATTCTGTGAAAACCTACAGTATGTACCACTTCTTCACCTGCCCTGATGCATCCTGAAAGCAAGTCAGTGTGCTCAGTGCTCAGTGGAGCAAAGACTCGGGACAACTCAGTGCTGTGAGGCTTACCCTGGCTGTTCAGAGGCAAGGGCCTGTGGCAAGATCTGGAGGTGCCTGGAGGCTGCTGGTGTCTTGCAGAGTTCCTGTTGTCTGGCACTTGAGAATTCTGAGCTGAATCTTTCACTGTCCCTTCAGGGCTTTCCCATGAGTTTCCCATGCTTCTGGGAGTGAGCTTTCTAATTTCAGAACTAATACAAGAAAACAGCCTAATTTGCAGTGTTCCTCGATGGCTTGTATCTGTGCTGCTGTAAGAATTTTAATTGCTGGGCTTTCTCCCCAATATTTACTAAGGCTTTCTGTGAAAGGAGAAACCTTAAGCCTGGTATAGAACACGAAGCCAGTGTAAGGAGCAGGTTAGTGCTGAATGTGAGAGATGTATTGTCTGGACTTTTTCCCGTCTGAGTAAGAGATCTGTACACGAGCAGTGCTGACTGTCTCTTTCCCGTCTTTATTTGTTCAAAGCCAAATTCACTGCCCGGAGTGAAGTCTTTTTCTGGCATGCCCTGTAATGAACTTTGAGACTAATTACTTTAAAAGGATCTAGAAATCAGGAACCCATCATTTACAGCAGCTATGCCTGTACAGCCTCTATGCAGAGCTGCTCTGTATGGAGAAAGAAGAGTAGAAAGGGGCAGCCAGGTTGACAAGTGAAGGCTGGTATTTGTGATTTGACGATCTATCCATTCCTGATGAAATGAGGTATAACTGCTCTATTATTGATATTTGTACTAGGTCCTCTCTGACGTGCCCTCATTGCCAGAAGCAGAGTAACACCTTTGACCCTTTTCTCTGCATCTCTCTGCCGATTCCTTTGCCTCATACACGGTATGTAACTGTCTTGAACTTCACGTTGGCTGTTTCCCATGCATATAGTCTTTAATTTTCTACAGAAGGAAGAGAGATGTCAGCAAAATCTCTCCACTAAGTCTTTAAAAAAGATAGATAGGACCATATGGGGCTTTAATTTTTTGCTTAGCGGGTAAATTGGAAAATTGAGCCTTTTACTTGTTTCAGAATGGCCCTTCGCTCCCACCCTTAACTTCCTATAGAATTAATTTGGGGGAGAAAAAAATATCTTTGATTCAGGTAACCAAAATATTTTGCTTTTGACTTAATTTATAGCATTTTAAAATTAAAAAGGGAAAAAGGACGAAACACTTTTTTTTACTTTCTTTAGAACAGTCTCACTGATCACTCCAATTTCAAAAAGTGAAGTTAAAAGCTTTCCTGCAAAATGTTTTGCTTTTTTGAAAGGTGGCTGTTGCCAATAAAGAAAAAAGCTCCAGGGAGGAAAAGAAATCCAGATAAAAAGTTCAGAGCAAAGATAGAGATGCACAGTAAAACTACCCCTTGTATAAATGAGCAGTTCCTTCACCTGATGTTTTGGATGAGGAAAACTTGTATGGGTTCAAGAAGCAATGGAACAAAGTAATGAAAGGACATATTAAATATGACTATGTCACATTTGGTTCAGAAGTTCCTGCTCTGCCACCACGTGGAGGCTGAGTGGGCTTTTCAGGGAAGGGTCCCTGGTAGGCTAGCTGCCCCACTCTTCTTTCCCAAGGTAGTCCTTCTGGCTGCTGGTGGAGGCAAGATTGAGTATGGAGAGGCAACCTGGAGCAGCTGTTCCCAGCAGCAGCTCCCTCTGAATGCTTTAAGGTGCTGCCTCGGACTAAGCTGCATTACAGGATCCTTGGTGGAAAATTATGATTGCATTGTCATAGACAGTTTTATTTTTAACTTTGTGGGGCTTTTTTGAGAAGATGTTCTGCTTGTGGAAGCAAGTAACACCAGTCCATGTAGTAAGAAAGGAATCTTTGGAAATCAAACATACTTGCCTGGCTGCGGCTGAACGTACCTCCAGTGTGAGGTGGATCTGGACTGCTGGGAGGGCCCTGTAGCTTATGGGCTGCCTGGATGCACCCAGGTTGGGCTGACTCTGTTGAAGGTGCTGCCAAGAAGTGCTCAGCCCAGCCCCAGCAGTGCCTCCTGTGCTCTCCGCAGGCCACTCTACGTCACCGTGGTGTATCAGGGGAAGTGCTCTCACTGCATGCGGATCGGGGTGGCGGTGCCCATCTCTGGAACGGTGGCCAGGCTGCGGGAGGCTGTCTCCTCAGAAACCAAGATTCCCACGGAGCAGGTAACAGGCTGGTCTCGTCACCCACATGCCCTCCCTTCAGTGAGAGGGTGTGCGGAGGCTTTCATCTCATGTTGGATATGTAGGAATTGAAATTTGCTGCCCATGATTGAATGGGGAAAGCAGGGTAGTGGTGATCTGGATCAAGCTTTTCCCTGTGCGTTTGCTTGGGATAGCTGTCAGTGGAGCAGGCGGACCTTCTGCCTGATCACACGATGATTTGTGCATGCTGGCAGTGAGGGAACCATTGGGCACCTGTGGGGAGTTTCTCTGTAGGAAGAACTTCAGGAAAGCTGTTGGATCCCACCAAAACCTCTCCATGTGCTGCCTTTACTCCAGCTTCTCTTTTATGGCAGTCCTTTTCCCTGTTCCTTGCTCCTGGCTGATGCCAGGGTGTTTTGAGGAATGCCATCCTTCAGCAGGAAAATCCCAGTTGAGAGACAGGGCGGCTCAGCTGGATGAGGCATGGGTGTTTTAATGGGTTCTGGTTTGCTTCTGCTGACTCTAGATTGTGCTGACGGAGATGTACTACGATGGGTTTCATCGTTCCTTCTGCGATACTGATGACCTGGACACCATTCATGAAAGTGACTGCATTTTTGCCTTTGAGACCCCAGAGATATTTAGGCCCGAGGGTATCCTCAGTCAGAGAGGTAAGTCGATAACTCTGCTTAATGCCCAGCCCAGGTGACTAGGTGAGGGAGGCTTGTTTTGGAAAAGGATATACTTGAGAATAAAAGTCCCACAAGTAGTTGATGTTCTGGTGTATTGATTTCAACTCTGACTTTGTCCAGACTCATTTCAGCAGACTTAATGGTGTTGTCAGCCAGGAGGTTATCAAGAAGCGATGTACACTCCTTTCTTCCTCTTCCTGGGGTTGATTCTGCAGGCCAGGCTGGCTTAATGTGAAATCTGTTGTCAGGCTTAATTTAAAGACCTGCTAGGGACCAGATGAAGCCACTGAAATTGTGTTATTTAAAATCAGATTGCCAGTGATGAATAAACAGTCTTGGGAATGAACAAACACTTTCTTTTTCAAAGCTCAAAAACCTCAGCTTCTCTGCATCTCCCTCTCAGTAAAAGGCAATAATTGCATCCTGGGTAGACCGAGTGTAATCAAAGGCAAATTTTATTATTGGAAGTAACAAGTAGGGTTTCTGTCACTTCAGCTTTTCTTGCAGGCAGACAAAGCCATGAGTGCTTGTACAAATTGCTGTGAAAAATCAGTTAGGTGAGCACTTGCATATAATTTCTTTCTGTAAAGAAATAGTCACTATGAAAAGTAATTGGTCTTCAAGGCCTTCATACAAGTGATAAAAATGGTCTTGATTCCATATTGACCTGCTTCTCTGCAGCCAAAGGACAGTTTCTTGGGGGGGGCATCAGAGCACTAAAGGCAAATGACATAACAAAATGTTTCCTTTCTCCTAATTTTTCAGGAATACATGTGAACAATAACCTGAATAACTTGAAATGTGGCACTGAGCACTCCCGAACAATATCTTACTCTCAAGGAACAGTGAAGTCTGGAAAACTGGAACAGTCCTCTACTAAACCAGCAGCAAACGACAAGATTGTCTTGCTGGTGTGTAACAGAGCATGCACTGGACAGCAGAGCAGAAGGTGACTGGCAGCTTCACAGTTAGTTACTCTTGTGGCTGCTTCCTTAATTGACCTGGGGTTTACTCACCGTGTAGTGAAAACACAAGGTGAAGGAGCAACAGCTTGCATTCGCAGCTTGCATTAGGTGCTAAAGAACATGTTGTTCAAAAAACATTAATGAATACAGCAAAATATTCCTGATTTTGGTGAACTTCAAGTAGTCCAATGTTACTGGAAAGTGGTGAATGCAGACCAGTCTGAAGGACGTACCACCTCTCTGTAGAGCTATCTGGTTTCAGAGAGCAGCAAGCAAGTCTGACCAGGTCCTGTGATATGTGGAAATTTTTAATTGGAGTGCAAACAGGGGGTGGGGAGGAAGTGAGAAATGACCATGGCAAAGGCATTTGTACCAACACAGGCTGAGAACTATCTCAGCAGCTGAAGTTTGTTTCACAAAAAGTGATCCTGGCCACGTTGCAAAGCTCTGCAGCCTGAGGTAAGCCACTTAAGCACAGAGCAGGGCTGCAGCCTGGTAAAAAGAGCCCTCTGCATGGGCAGCCGTAACAGTGTTTCCTCAAAGTTAAGCACCTCTCCTCTGGAAACAAGTTTTTAAATGCCTTGTTTCTGGGGAGTTTCATCCAAAGCATGCTGAGCTCCTTAGGTGCCAAGTGAAGAGGAGAGTGGCACTATCAGAGTTTTGGGATCTGACTGCTGAACAGAATAATCTTTTAATTGCTCCCTCAAATGCTACTCCTTCCTGTAGGTTTGGCTTGCCCTTTGTGTTGCATTTGGAAAAAACAATTGCTTGGGATATTCTACAGAAGGAAATTCTGGAGAAGATGCAGTATTTTCTGCGGCCTGCAGCCTGCATGCAGGTGAGGCAAATGGTTCGTCTGTTTTGATACTTCCAGCTCTGTGTGACATGAACTAAAGGGGAAGCCAGTTACCTGGAGTGATAAACGTGCTACACATGCTGAACTGATGGCTTTCCAATATTTCTTTGTGCAATAATGTCCAAGTCTGGTATTCCACCTCTTTGGTGCTTTTGTCTATTTGCTGAAAGGTACAAGAAAGATTAGACTGATCAGGTGAAGAAATTGCATGCTTTGCTTCCTTCCTTACCCCCAAGAAATACTTGAGAGATTAGTGCTGCTGTCTGCACTGGAAATCCACCAGTTGGTGGTGTTTGCCTAAAAGAAAAGCTGAAACATTAGCTTGGTGACTGCATGTTTCTGAGAGCAGGGGGGTGAAGAGGGGTGTCTTCTCTGGTCACCATAGAGGAGTTGTTGGATACAAAGCCTCAGTTGCTGTACCTCACCCCTTTGTTAGCTGCTTGGCGTAGGCACATTTGAGACGTTGTGAATTTGCTTTCTCATGTAAAACACACGTTCTAGGATAAAGTACATGTCAGCTGGTGCTGAGAGCAGGTTTGCCTGTACCTAAGTTGGGTCTGAGCTATTGAAATGGCTTCTACTCTCTTTGTTGCAGGTCTGCCCATTCAGCTTGCGAGTGGTCAGTGTTGTGGGGATAACGTACTTGCTACCTCAGGAGGAGCGACCCCTCTGCCATCCAACTGTGGAAAGGTGAGCTGGTCCTCATTCCCAAAAGTGGAGAGAGGTTTGTCAGCTGGAAACTCAGTGTGTAGCCATGCAGAAAGGGACAGTCTTGGTGTGGATGTGTGGAATGGACTTCACAGGCCTGAGGAGCAGGGAAACCACTGCGTGTCCTCAAGGAGGTGTATGAGGATTGCTCAGTTGTGTGTCATGCCATCTGGAGTCTGTCCTTCTTGGAAATGGAGAACAGAATGAAAGTATTACTCCCCCCCATTTTAAAGTGGTGGGGCTTTTTTTTTAGTGACTGTTATTCTTCAAAAATTTTTGTAGATGTCTGTTCTGTAAACAAGTGTACGTTTATTTACAGAACTAATATATTTAGGTAAATGCAGTTGGCCAGCTTTGCCATGTTCTTTGCTGTATGAATTCCTTTTACTCCTTTGCAAACTTGAGCTGTGTGGGAGAGAAGGAAGGATGAAGGGCTAGTGGAGAGAAGTTGTGTGCGTGTAAAATAACGTAGGCTTCAGATTGAAAGGTGGTTTAACTTCTGTCTGCTTCTCTCTCCAGGGCATTGAAGTCATGTGGACAGGGGGGAACTGCTCATGTGAAATTAGTGGTAGAATGGGACAAAGAAACTAAAGATTAGTAAGTATGAAGTAAAAAGCCTTAAATTGTGTTCACCTTAAGAGTGATGCTTGTGGCTTGGTTGTGTGAATTGTGCACCCTTCAGCAAACATGAGTCCCCTCAGAAACTTGACCCCATGCCCTGGTCCTACTTGCAGGGATAGACTTTTCCTTTTCTCTGTAGCTGGAGTTTTGCATTATGGAGCAGGCATCTTGCCTGTGGCACCTTCCCCCACAAATAATATTCATGTGAGAAAGTTTGTGGGCAGTGAGTAGCTTTTTCTGTCTGAGATAAACTGGAGTGGGTGCCCACTGAAGCTGTTCACCCCTGTGTTCAGTTGTGTTGCCCTGGCAGGATCTCTTGCCAGTCAGCTCTCGCTCACGTGTAACGGGACAAATCCAGGAAAGAGCTGTTGATTGTACCTTCAGAACAGCTCCTTGGCAGTGTGGGGAGCAGGTGGATGTGCTGGTAAATGTGTTGTCTCCCTGATGCAGCTTGTTTGTGAATACAGAAGAGGAGTATATTCCAGACTCCGAAAGCGTCCGCCAGCAGAGAGAGCTTCATCATCAACCTCAGACCTGCACTTTATCTCAGTGTTTCCAACTGTACACCAAAGAGGAACAGGTAGGGACAAAACTGTATAGCAGCCAGGACTCGGAAGGTCTGGCTGGTCCGCGTGCTGCATGAACTCCCATACTCAGCAGAGTAGCTCTTTTCTGCAAACACCAATTTATTGAGACAAGAGAATAAATTTGTAACACAACTGGTTACCAGTCCTGCTAACTGAGTTTCTCTGCAGTGAGGAGAAAGTTGTGGGAAGTACTGCTTTGGGGGTTTTTGCCCCCCAAATGTTGGTAAGAGAACTTCTCTGTTCTGCAGTTTCTTCCCTGTGAAATAGTGATGCCTTTTTCTGGCATACATTATAAAGGGTTAGAACAATGTGGCTTCTTCATGGGAATTTACTGCTCTGTCTTGGAGCAGTTGTGTGTTTCCACGGCTGAACAGGGCTGGGGTGGGCTCAAGTCAACCCCTACTGAGTGGGACCCCCTGAATGGCAGTGCAGTGACCACTGGGCTCAGTTCTCGAGAATCGTTGCTGCTCTCCTCCTCTAACTCTGCTTGTGGTGTGAGGAGGTTGAAGTGGCAGGAGCGATGGTGTGCCACAGGGCAGGCTAGAGATGGGTCTGAGCTCGCCCTTGCCTGGAACACATAAGCCATCTGCGTTTCTTTGCCAGAAGTCTCTAATCTGCTGTAAAAAGGGGTGGTGCTAGAGGTGGACTATGGACCTGTGACTGTGACTTAATAATTTGGGAGCCTGTCTCCTCGCTTCTTTCAGAGGTGAGGGAGAAGTTGTTTGACAGCTTAAAGTTCTCTGGCTTCTGAGTTTTCTGAGCACTGGGCTGTGGAGGGAAACACATGTTGTGTTTGTGTCTTTGAAAAGACACATTCTCCTTGGTGGACAATGAAAATCTCTGCAGTTTGTAAGTGTGTGCCATTGGGACATAGGGAGGGAGAGGGTTTCCAGAGGGCAGTGAGGTGTTAGAGATGAAATTTGTCTTTCTGTTCCGATTCTTTCTTTGCTGCTGGTTTTCTTGTGAGAGTACTTCTACTCAGGCTGCCAAGCCTGCCTGCTTTTTGCCTTTGTTTTTTCTTCTCCCCCACTTCAAAGGTATTGGGGTTTATAAGGTGGAAATAGCTTCTCTGCACAGCAGCACTAGCTGAATTCTGTCTTACAGTTGGAAGTGCCTCCTGCATAAGGCACACATGTCTCTTTGCTTGTCACTATTTTGAAAAGCATCATTGGGAACCCTGCATTTCCAATGAGCTTGATAAATGCTGGAGGTAGATGGGGTGCAGGGGTCAGTGTCTGCACTGGGCCTGGGGCAGCAGCGGAACAGTGGTGTAGCGAAAGCTGCCTTGGAATTTGAAAACTAATACTCATACCCACTCATGCCTCTTCCTTGTAGCTTGCCCCGGATGATGCATGGCGATGCCCACACTGCAAGCAGCTGCAGCAGGGTAGCATCACACTGAGCCTCTGGACCTTACCTGATGTTCTCATCATACATCTCAAAAGGTTTAGACAGGTAAGGATGTCTGCAGTGATGCTGGAGGACTGCTGCTCAGCCAGGGAGTGACCTGACTTAGAACACCTTTTCAGAAGCAGCTGTTCTGCCCTATGCATTCCTCAACTGGGTTTTTGTTTTCCTCAAGCATGGTGGCCTCACTGCCACTGCAGCTCATGCTATTCTCTGTTTATACAGGAAGGAGACCGAAGGATGAAACTTCAAAACATGGTTAAATTCCCCCTGAGTGGCTTGGACATGACTCCCCATGTTGTTAAACGCAGTCAGAGCAGCTGGAGTCTGCCATCTCACTGGTCGCCCTGGAGGAGACCTTATGGTCTTGGAAGGGATCCTGAGGACTATATCTATGACCTGTATGCTGTCTGCAATCATCACGGCACCATGCAAGGGGGACACTATACAGGCAAGTATCCTGCAATGTTATGTATGTTGGATCCTTTCAGAAAGAAAATGGTTATATTTTTCTATTGAGTGTCTATAACTACTTCATCTGTCTTGGCAAAAGGACCTAACCCAACTAACAAGGGCTGGCTATGTAGTACCAGATGGGTAACTTTTATGACTTTGAGGAATGGAACAATGCCTGTTGACCCAAAATGTCTTACTGTACGTTTCTTTCTCTGCTTTTTTTTTCCTTCAGAGTAATGTAACTGGCCTTTCATGTTTGAAAAATGCTCCTGGCCACTCAATGCAGAACTTCTGTAGTTGCAAGAGGCTGCTATACATAGGAAGTATTTGCACATTGCCTATGTGTGTAGCCAGTTTATGAACTCCTCTTTGCTTGTTCCAGCAGCAACCAGAGCAGCCAGAGAGAGACAAAGTTGCTTGGTGGTTCTTAGGATCTGTATGACTTCACACAGCAGCCCAGAAAATGTGTGTGTCTGGTTTTGTCCTCTGATGTGTGACTCTGGGCTGCGTTGTCCTGGGTGGGCTCAGTCAGAAGGAGATTCACTGAGGGAGGTGGACTGCCACAAGTAACAGAACATGAAGTGAATGGAGCCATCCCAAATGGTGTTCTGTTCTGAGCAGTAGTGTTGGACAAAGAAATCCTGAAATGCAAGCTGTTTATTGTATTCTGGTGGCCTCAGGCCCCCATTTTGCCAGTCAGACTGGAAAAGGATGTGTTGCATGAATAAATCTGTTCCTTTCATTCTCCTCTGAGTCCATCATAGCAGATAAGGTCTTGTTTAAGTTATCATACAGCAAAGCTGAGAGTAGTAGGACTAATAGTAATGTATTTTCTCTCAGCATATTGCAAAAACTCGGTTGATGGCCAGTGGTACTGCTTTGATGACAGTGATGTTCAGCAACTTTCTGAAAATGAAGTCTGCAAGCAGACAGCTTATATTCTTTTCTACCAGAGGCGCACAGCAATCCCATCGTGGTCTGCTAACAGCTCTGTGGCAGGTAAGCCCTGCTGGCATTGTCAAGGAGTGGTTTTAGTTTCTTTCATGGATAGTTTGCCCTTCTGAAGAATTTTCTGCCCAGCTCTAATTAAGCCCCCACTCTCTGTCCCAGAACTCAGCAAGGCTTGTCTGAATCTGCTGCTGTGCATCAGAGGCTGTGGGAAAATCCCACCTCTTCTGTTAAGGCTAGTTGTGGCAAAGAGGCTGCGGAGATGGGGGAGCCCCCCCTCCATCCCCATGGGTAGTTCTGCTCAGAGCTGCCCTTGTCAAAACCATGACATAAAAATGTGACTATTTCATTCCCTCCAGCAGTGCTGTTGGTCTCAAGTAGGCAGCCAGCAGCTGAATGTGTTGGTGGAATCCAGGATGAGCTTTGGACAGATGCAGGCTTGGTGACTTGCCTTTGGAAAGGAAAGGATTTGCACTGCATTTTTTGTGGCAGCTCAAGGACTGCCCTCTGTCTGTGTGCTGTTGCACCGATTCTTTTGATTCACAGTGTAGTGGGACAAGTGCAATTCTGTCTTTCACTTTTATGGTCATAACTATTTCATAAGAGTAAAGACTTATTCTCTTGGCAGTGTGTGGATGCTGTGGCTGTGTGGGCTAGCTCCAGACTCCAGGTATCTGTCGAAGGCAGTGCAGTGCAGTATTTACCTGGCTCTCAGTGGCCTTCCAAGGTTTCATGTGTTCTGCAGCTGCATTGGCCTGATGTCTGTGCCTGCTTCCTTGCAGGCTCCACAAGCTCCTCGCTCTGTGAGCACTGGGTCAGCCGTCTTCCTGGTAGCAAGCAGCCCAGCATTGCTTCGGCAGCATCATCACGACGCACGTCTCTGGCTTCACTCTCGGAATCGGTAGAGCTGACTGGGGAAAGGAGTGAAGATGATGGTGTGTATCAGCACTGCAGTATGTGGGGGATACTGGGCTGCTAGTCTTTCTGTTACAAGATCCCTACTAAAACAGCTGCAAAATATGTAGTTACAAGGGACAGTTACTCTAGCAGCTGGGGGAGGCAGGCACTGTGCTGGTAGGAGGTGGATTCTGGCACAGGTGAGCTCTTCTCTGGTATGAAAGGATGGAGAAGAGCAGGGCAGGAACCTTAAGGAGCCTTTCAAAGAAAGGAAATGCTGACAATGAAACCTCTCAAACAAGAACTTGTTGTGCTTGTGTTTTTTCTGGTTTTCATTGCAGCACCTTTGCAGGGAGACTGACATAGTGCTACAGCTTAGCATAGATATTTATTGTCTGCTGCTGTGCTGTCAACTGCTCCCAGGGAGGTGAGAAGGTACTCAAATTCACTTGTGTGTCAGTTCCTGGCTTTGCTTGGCTCCTCCACATAGTGCCTTGTAACTTCTGAAAATGTGGAGGTTTAGGGGTCAGTCTGAGCATTTTGGAGCACGTATAGAGATGTCCCTGCAGCAGTGTTGTGACAACTGTCAGGTCTAGCCATGGTAGCCACATTTCTAAAATGCTTATTGTTGTACTTTGTGTTGTAAATACAGATACATTGCTTTAGATAAAGAGGTAGGAATCCTACTTTGCCTTTACAGGATTGTATGGGAAATATTCTTTAATAAAGAAAAATGTATTTCTGGGAGCATAATCGTAGTTGGTGAACTAGTTTCAAGGACTTCTAAGGTGCAAAGCCTGTGTTTGGTCTCCTGCTGCTCAGGGATGAGAGGAAAATCTGGATTTTCAGTTATAGGCTTCAGAGAGTTACTTCTGGGTAACCGCTAGCAAATAACAGTTGTTGAATTCCTTATTCAGCTTCATGCAAGAAGCTGTGCCTGCAGCAGGCATGAAGAGATAGGCATACAACGTGGTGTGGGTGGGCTGTCTGACTCTTAGGGAAGTAGCGTCTGTGGATGGGAAGGATAAACTGACTGCAGGCTTGGCTTTCATACTGAGGATGTCACTTTCTTTCTCTGCAGGAGGATTTTCAACTCGGCCATTTGTAAGAAGTGTCCAGCGTCAGAGCTTGTCATCTAGATCATCTGTCACCAGCCCACTGGCAGTGAGTGAAAATGGTGTTAGGCCCTCATGGTCACTCTCTGCAAAACTGCAATTCCGCTCCAACTCTCCATCGCGCTTCTCTGGAGATTCCCCTGTACATACCTCTGCTTCCACCCTGGAGAAGATTGGGGAGGCTGCTGATGATAAAGTCTCCACCTCTTGCTTTGGCAGCCTGAGGAATCTCTCTAGCAGCTACTTGGAGCCCTGTGATGGCAGTCGGCGAGAGAACAGGACAGCTCGCAGAGCTCCTTTGGCTGTCATGGAAGGGGCATTCAGGGAAGAGTCTGTTGTAAGGACATCTAGCTCAGATCTTTCAGATGGGTATGGTAAAAGCTCTGTGCAGCCAGACAGGAATCACCCTGCTTTGGACCCTTTTGATAACAACAATCAAATTGCCTTTGTTGATCAGAGTGATTCTGTGGATAGCTCTCCAGTCAAGGAGGTGAAAGCCCCCAGTGCGATAGGGCTCGCTGCAGAGAAGGCAGATGGCACACCTAAGAAGGTTCACAGCTCCAAGGGAGTTTCTGAGCCAGACAAAAGTTTGAGGAAGGGAAGGACAGTCTTATCTACCCAAGAGACCAAAGTCTCTCACTCTTCTCCACCACTAAAGAGTTCCCAGAAAGTTTCCCGGTCTAGAAGTAAGACGGATGCCTCTAGGGCCAGTGGGCGACATGGGTCTCCTGCTCCCACTCAGGCTAGGAAGGACCATAGCACGAAGCCCCTTGAGGTGGCTGTCCCATCGGCTCAACAGAAGCAAAAGTCAGGTTCTTCTCCATCCTCCACAGCTGCCAAGAAAACCCCATCAGGCTCATTGACTAAGGGCTCTTCTGCTGGGAAAAGCCGGACTTCAGACCGAAGCCTCAGCAGGGAGGGCTCTAAGATAAGTTTGGGGTCGGATAAAACAAGCGTTACCAGCAGTTCAAGAACGAGCTCCCCACGGATAAGCCACTCTAGGAGTGACAGCAGGGCAGTAGACAGCAAGCATGTACGGAGTTCCTCTATGGCCAACCTGCGGTCCCCAAATGTTGGTGTGCGTTCTGGTTTGAAGAGGGACAGCAAGTCAGAAGAGAAAGGATTGTCTTTCTTTAAATCAGCCTTAAGGCAGAAGGAGACCCGGAGGTCAGCAGACCTGGGAAAGACGACGATGCTCTCAAAAAAGACAGGGAGTGGCAGTTCCAAGTTAGGCAGTAAAAATGTGCTGGAAGACAAATCAGAGAAAGGTGTTGTCCCACCAGCCTCTCAAACCAATGCCAACATTACTGCAAAAGAAAAACTTGTCCCAAAAGATGCCACACCCAACAAACATTCTCTGCTATCCAGTCGCAAGTCCAAGTCTTCCCAGCTAGATCCCGGAGTCCAGTCTCCTCCTTCCAGTGGCAAGCAGTCTGCTGACAAGCCGCTGAAAAAATTACCTTCCAGCATGCAGGTGTCTGTACGGCCTTCTCTGGAACCTCAGTGAAATGCTGCAATCCAGGTGTCTTTTCTTCTGCTGAGAAGCTAATTTATTCTGAGCTCTTGTTTTTTTGTTCATGTGCCTAATGTATGTTTTGAGGAGAAGTTAACTGCAAGTTGTTAAAGCGCCTTTTGATTCTGCCATCAAACCAAATAGCTACAGGCAGCCAGCACTGATGCAAGTAGTCTAGCTGGAGTCATTGTTGAACATGAATGCAGCTGTCCCATAGCACTTGTACAGGAGTCTCTTTATGGAAAATGCAACAACTTTCTTCAGATTCAAGGTTTGAAATCTGAAACCCAGTTGTACTGACGCTAGTGTGCTTTGTAGAGCTGTGAACTGATATTCCTTTGGTCTTGTTCCGAGCAGGCTGTGTCCACGCTGGTATATGGCCTTGTTCTGAGCTGTGGAGGATGCGAAGGAAACTGGAGAGACTGCCGCTTCTTTTTGCTCTTTCTCAACCCTCTCTCCCTGCTCCCTTCCATTTTTCAAGCTTTCTAAAGGGCAATATTTCAACACTAATGTTGTTTCTCAGGTATATACTCAGCCAGTATAGGAGGGACTAGCATTAGTGGGTGGACAGAAAGGTACCTGTGAGTCCGTGTGTACATGTGTCTGTCAGACTTCATTTTTGCATTCCAACAGCAGAAAGTTGGGTTTTTTTCATGAAATGTAACCTGCCTTTTTTGTTGCTATGTCTATGAAGAGTTTTACTCTGTCCACACCTAAGGCAACCTCTGCCCTGTCCTCTTTAATTACTTTCTCTCTTTTGAAACACTAGACTAAGCAACAGAAGAAATCACTAAGCAGCAGCTGGTTGCCAGCTCGTACCTGTGAAAGTGCTAGGTGGGAGATGGTTGCAGTGCTGTAGGAGAGCTGTCTTCATGCACCTGAATGGCAGTGATGCTGTTAGGATCCCTGTTCAAACTCCTGAGAAGAAGCGTTTCCTAATGTGCTCAGATGTTTAATCGTAGTGGTGTGAGTATAGCATCTGTTATTTATAGGAGTAATGTTTAGATAAGCCAAGTGTCGTCTTGTCTTCTCTGCCTTCTCTGAGCATGCTTTGAACAAGCCTCTTCGTGCGGGTTGGAGCAGCTGTACCAAAATACCGCAGAGCAGTTTTCACATTCTCCAGAGCGCTGCTACGTTCCTCCCTTCAGCATGCTTGTCACCTTCCTCGGTGGGTCTGGCTACCACAAGTCTCTTTGCAAAATGATTCCCATTCTTGTTTGGATGACAGTCTCTATCAGGGTTAAAACACTGCATCTAGTGACGTCTTTGTTTACAAGCCCTTCTTACAGGGGAGATTCCTCAAGTTCTTTAAGATTCCTCTTAAAAGGTGGATTCCTTAAGTCCTTTTATATACATGTGGTGTAAGCTTTTATTTCATGAGTTTTTATTAATGTGCTGCATATCGTTTATGTACAGCAGCAATCTGTCGTGTAGGTCACGACATGCAGCAGCTGGGCAGTGGGCAGTGTGCTGGGCACGCTTGTCTTCTGAATGAGGTCTTTGCCTGTCATACAGTCTTGTGTAGCAAAGCTTCTCCAGGCGTAGCTTGTGGACAGACATATTTGTACATCTTTTCTGTCAACGTAACAAACAGCCCTCAGACAAGTAGTGACTCTGAGTTAGTCTATTCCACCTCCTCTCTTGAGCTGATGTGCTGATGACCCTGCAAGAAGCCTTGCACCCAGGTCTGCTGGGCACGTTGCTGCTCCGTGATTACTTTTTATACTTGGCTCACCACACGACTGCAGCAAGCTTTGGAGAGAAATGTTTTGGGGGTGGCTGACACCTTGGAGAAAAGGCAGCGTGTGTGTAGAGCTGAGCTGGCGGTGCCCCAGACCTCTGGTCAGTGTGTGACAGTGAGCCCACCTGCAGTATAACCCTCGCTCTGTCCTAATGTTGTTCTGCAGTACTTGCCTTCATGCAACCCAGAAGCAATGCCAGTAGCCTGCATGTTTTTACAATGTGCTGGACTCTGTGCCCTGGACTATGTTTTTAAACCTGAACATGACCATCTTCTTGATGCGTTTCTTCTCCCGGGTATTGTTTCAGTCTCGTTTATAGCAGCAACAAGAAGCAAAGATTGCATTACTTGCTTCTTAAATGTATGACTTGGATTATTGTTGGATTATTTTTTGTTATATCCAGCAGAGCAGATAAGACTTGCTTCACACTGTAGTACTTAAATTACTCCCTGAAATGTTGATGTTGAAGTATTTGTTTAAGGTTTTATCTGTATTAAGGTCTTGCACTGTGTCGGCTCTTCTCTTGTAACAACTCTTCTAGCAAGAATGTAATTCTGGTAGCTAGTGCTAACTTGGTTTGGTATCTTTTAATAGACAGAACCTAGTTTTCTGTGCGTTTTACCATGGGACATTTGTGAAAGGTTATTTTTATCAAATGACATTTTCTTTTCATGCCATTGTTCACTGAAGAAGTTTAAACTGGAAGCTGGTGTATGGGTTTTGAGGTGGTTTTGCTCCTGTATTGCATGCCTGGACTGAAGGAAACTTGAAGCCATGTCCAAACCGGAGTTTTTAGCTGAACACCAGTTCAGTATGTTTGTGTTTGGGGCATGAGAATGGTCATTAGAGCTCCCATTTAGGCAAAATGGGAATGGAGATCCTGGTGACAGGTGTTCCAGCAGCTGATGTTAAAAGCAGTTGAACCTCTGCAGTCCTATGATATGTAATCTAGTTCTTTTTCGGTGTATTCCCCATAATTCCTGATGGAAATTTCTGCCAGCTCCAGCACTATCTACTCTGTGTATGCTGCCAAACTGGATTTTGTACCTACCCCTCTAAGAACAGCACAGGCTGGTGCACAGGCTCCTCGCTCTGCAAATGAGCATGGAGTGGGCAGAAGAGGCTGTACTGACAGTGCCCTCGTCTTAGAGCAGATGAGATGCTGCTCTTCTGTGGTGGGCTGCCAGCATGCGGCATGTTTTCTGGCTCAGGAGGGCTTGACTTAGGGGTGTCCTCAAGGAAAATATCTTGACTTATAAGGGTGCACTGTAGTTCATGTTGAATATAAGGCCCACACCGGACAAAATGTGCAAAGCATGCCCTTGCAGGACCTGGAAAGTGCAGTCCCTGTTTGGTGGCTGCGTCGATTCTGTAACAAAGCAGTTTGGAAAGCAGCCGTTTGCTGCCATTCTGCATCTCTGCTTTTTGGTATCGCAGATTTCCAGTAGTATATGAGCTTCCTTGCACAGGAGAGCGTTTGAAAGGTGTGGGTCCAGGGGACAACAATGTTCATAGTGTAAAACCAAGCCTCGTTGCTGCTAAAGTCATGGCTCCATCAGTGATGTAGAGTAAATCTTTCTAAAACTGAATGTAGGTTATTGCAGGCCCTACTTAAACTGATTTGGGGAAGAGCAACATCAGTCTTCTCTCCTTGCTTTACAGCAGACTTATTTCTTAGCCTTTTCATGCATAGGAATTCCTGTTTGTGTATTGCGTTGTCCAGATGCAAGGATGTGGCACGATACTAGGGAACACTCCAGAGAGGGACCTTCCACGTCCTAGATGCCAACACCACCTTGGCTTTGTGTATTGATCCTTAGAGCAGTGAAGGCTTGAGGCTGTTCTGAAGCAGCCATTTGTACATGATCACCTCTTTTCTTAAAATTCATGTTTGGCTTCAGAAGCACTCATGCCTGTGGAGGAGGTGGGTTCTGCCATCTTCCGAAGGTCACCGCTGGCCAGGGATCTCCACCTGCCCTTGGGTGGTGGCACGTGGGGCCCAGAGGTCTCATGGCTGGCCATCTGAGTGGGACAAGAATGGCTGCTGTCTGGTTCTGCTTTCTGAGTCACGCACAGCCATGGCACGTGTGGAACGGCCTGTGGTGTGGCTGCCTGTGGGGTGAGCTGTGCTGGCTTGGGGGTGGTGGAGTCTGGGACCCCAGTGCCAATGACCTGGACGCAAAGGTTTTACAGGGCAGCCTCACGCTGGTGAGAATGCCTTGAAAGGGGGAGGTCCAGCACTGTCCCTCTGCTCAAACAGTGTGCAAGCTCCAAAGAAAAGCAGGCTTCAAGTCCTCTGAAGGATTTTATGATGCGTTTCCAAAAAACTTTGGGTTGAACTCACCTCCATTGGCCATGTGTAACTCGTATTTCACACCACATCCCCAGTCTGACACTTGCTCCTGTTCCTGGAATCAGCCCTCTGGGCGCAGGAAAGCAGCGCCTTCATTCCAGTGCTAGATTCCTGCTGGAGTCACCTAAAGAAATTATTTTTACCCCTTTTGGGCTGCGTCTTTTGGATAGTGTTTAGTAGTATACAAATTATAAGCACATTTTCAATGACATGAATCAAAGAGGCACCTTTTATTTGTATTAATCACATTTGATAGACAATTTGGTGCCTGCAGTTCTCTGTAACTTATAAGTGTCTCACTTTGGGTGTATAAATTGTTAACCCTTTCAAACTTATAAAATATGGCTAAATAAAAAAAATGCTTAGGATAGAAAATTAGCAGCTTAATTACAGTACACTTATTCCACTGTAAGTGCCCTCATCCATCTTAGCTGCAGGGTTGTTTGCTTTCCAAAGCTGAAACTTGAGCATGATCAACCATTTTTTTTTTTTCCTCAGTAATAAGGGCAGTTTTGCATGGCAGTTCTCTCGCTGTACCCAAATGCATGCACTTCCTAACTATGCAAGCATCTAATACAAGCCACAGACCGTGCTTTCAGTATCAGAATCCACTCGGTAGACTCCAGAGCACTGCCCTGAGTCTGTATTTCTGTTTCTTGGTGCAGCTGCGTGTCAGCACATAGGAGCATGTCCCTGGGTTCCTGCTTTGTTTGCACATCTTTGATTCTTTCCTTTGCAGAATTCTGCATTACCGACAAGGCTGGAGTGTAGCATAATGTCAAAGGGATCTGAAATGTTGAAATGAGAACAAACTGGTTTTCTGTATTGTATTGTTTTTTCTTTTTTTAACAGGGAAAACCTGATCAGTGTTCTGTATGTAGCCTGCCATTTTCCATGTAACTTTAATGACATGTTCTATGTTGTGAGAAGAGGCAGTCACCTGTAGCCGTATAAGCACTCAAAAAAAGAGTTTTTGTTGAATTTCCATGCTACGGGAGTAGTTTCCAGTTGTCGGTGTGGTGCCCATACTGGTAACGGGGCTTCTGCCTGCCTTCCTGGGAAGAGCCGGGCCGGGCCCCAGCGGCCCATGGGGGTGGCTGTGCTTCCCATTCATGCTCCAGAACCGTGGTGGTGTTTGCATTTCTGAGCTGTGCTGCCGTTCGACTGCAGATCCCACCGGGGTGGTTGTACGCACAGCGGGGCCGGTCGGGGTCGTAGCCCATGGGGCAGAGCGGGCAGCTTGCCTGCTTGGGGCGGCTGATGCGGGGGCAGGTTGGCAAGGTCTCGCGAGCTGAGTGTTGGGTTATAGCAAGAAGCGTAGGTCCCGGGATTCCTCCTGGGCTGCCGTGCTGTGCCCCTGCGAGGGACCACCGCGCAGCACCCTTGTCTTCGCAGAGCAGCCGGCCTGAGCAGTGGCGGGGTGTCAGGCAGGTTCTTGGCCCCACTCCCCCTGCGGGCTCTGTGCCCGTCCCCCTTGGTCAGCGGGCACAGAGAGGGTTTGGAAACAACATTCCAAATAATTTTACTGTTATCTTTTTTGTATCCTTGTCATTTGCCTACTAATCCAAAATAATTTGGCGGTATCTAATGTTACCTGTGGAGGGAACTGAAATTTAGTTTTAATCTGTGGTGAGATGAAAGTACTACATGGTTTTCTTAATAAAAGCACCGTAAAGCATTTACTATTAGGAGCTTTATTTTGTAAAATAAAAGTACCTGAAGACTTGTACAATATCTGTATTGGGTCTAAAGGTTTAGGGAGTCTTCTATTTTTTTAAAGGCGATAGCACTCAATTTATCTGCAAATAGTGTTTTTTAAAAGACACAGATTAAAACTAAGTGTAAACACAAATCCTGTTTCACTCTAGGCCCTGCAGCACAAACGCGTTGCAAGAAAGTTAGCATTAGGTTTGTATGGCATTTGTGCAGTGCAATAAGAAACCATTTTTAGGTGCTACATTGCCTTGGGTAGGGGTGACACAAGGGAATACAGGCTACAAGTGGCTAGATTATTTTCTTGTGGCCTTCCAAGTATTAATTTGTACAGGTTTGCTCACCAACTGTGCCTCACCATTGGTTAAAATTGAATTTTAAGTCCTGTTGCAAATGCAGTTTCTCTTCTGGACGCAATGTCAGATTTTACACTGGAGTATCTACAGTTCTAAAAACTGCATGTCACATCACTGTACACTGATAATGGGACGTGGGGCTTGCCCACACCTTTGATATTCTCTTCTGTATTTTAATGTTTTTGAACTGTACAGTAATCTGGAAAGCAGGCTGTCTTTACTTGGGATTGAACATTGTACCATAAATTTTAAATTATTTGAGGACAAGTGCATGAGACTGTGTCAATGCCTTTTATTATTTATTTGTATGTTTTATTATTCAAGGTGTATGCACTTTTAATATGCAGAATTTATATTTTTATGTTAAAAATCATTTTCTTTCAGAAAGAAGAGTTTGAATATGAGGAATTGGAATTAAGTGCAAAAAGGGGAATATGTAATAAAATACAATAAATTTATTACTAGGCATCCTGCCTGAGTGAGCATTTTTACAGGTCCACATCATTGCCCGACAAGGCGGCAGTGGCTGCACACTGTGCTGCTCCAGCCTCGCCGGGTTCCCTGCTCTGGCTCGCCGGTGGTGCTGCCCTGTCTGCTCCCCTGCGCCGAGCACCCCGTGGGCTCGCTCAGGGACCCCCTTTCTTTTTTTCTTGGGGTTTGTGTCAGCGTGTTGCAGTTGCAGGTCCTGCCGCTGATGCTCCGTGCTGCCTGCGGTGGGACTTGCTCCCCTGCAGAAGGGGAGCGTCTTTGGGGAGCAGGTCCCCTGTGTGCGTGGGGGGACCGCAGGGGGCTTCAGTGCTGGCTCTAACCATACAGCTGTGGCTGCTCTGCCCCCTCTGTGCAGGCATGGGATGGGGGGCAAGGCCTTAGTAACTTCCCCCTGTGTCCTGAACGGGGGTCCTCTCTGCTCCTCCTGGGAAACAAAAACCCGGAGGCCTGTTTTTGGGCATAGACCTGTGTGCTGGGGAGGGGGAGAGACGGGCTCCTACCTTACGCCCCGGTATTGTCCCTGATGCTTCTTTCTCCACAGACCAGCAGCCCAGGTCCTGCTGGTGCTCGGCTGGGGTCCCTGCTGCCGGCATATCGTGAGAGTGGGGTGCAGGACCTGGACGGAGCCTTTTTGTGCTGGTGAGTTTGGTCTGTGAGCCCCATGGGCAAGGGGATGTGATCTGGCCCCTCTTTAGGGTTCGGGGGCTCATACCTGGCCAGGCAGAGGTGGGGGTCTCTCCTGTCTGCCTGGCTGTACCTTCGTGTCTGGGCTCAGCCTCCCTGTTCCTGCCCCTAAAGCCCTGCGGAAAGCTCAGGCCTCCGCTTGAAGGCTGCAGCTGCCCTGGCGCCTGTCTGTCCGTGGGTCTCTGATCATGGCTTCCCACCTGTGTTGGCCCCAGGGCAGCTGGGGCTGCGATCCCCTTGCCGGTGGGTGCAAGGCTCTGTTGGGAGCATCCCCGTGTCCCCTCTCAAGTGCAGTGCTGGTGCTGGCCGTGCTCCAGCCTGCTCTTTGTCCCCTGGCTGCTGTAGTGATGCAGTGTGCAGCTCCTCTGCTTGAGGTTTGGTTCGATACTAGCCTTCTTTAATGGTTCTTTATTGAACTGAGGCTTAAACTGTGCAAGAGTGATAGTAACAAAGTGTTTAATTGTGTTCTCCTCTGGCTCTGTCCTAATTAAATATTGTTTTTCATTTAGCAGGGTGTGCAGCGGTGGCTCTCCTGCTGTGGAGGAGAGCATGGGCTGCTGGGCAGGAATGCAGATGGGCTGCTCCTGCTGCCTCCTTGCCTCGGCCCAGTGAGGAGGATGGAGCAAGGTGGGAGGAGGATGGAGCAAGGTGGGAGGAGGATGGACCGTTGCTCTCGGCTGCTGAAGGGAGGACCTCTCTGTCTGTCTATGCAGGTGGCCGCATCATCTGCAGGGGACACCCTCGGCTGGGTGAGCTGCTCCAGCTGCGGCTGCTGCAGGCACGGCTGGGCAACCATCCCCGTGGCTGCTGGGCTGCCTGGGCTCCGGTCTGGAGGGCAAATGGGGTGTGAAATGCTTTAGCAATCCAACTTGTCATCTTGGCTGAAGAACAGGTGGAAAAAATGGAAGACTTCGTGGCTGGAGCTGCCTGGGGGCATTTCCACTGTGGACTCTGATCTTCCTGCTTGAGTGAGCCATCAGATCGGTGTAGTAAGGGCTGCTGCTTGTGCTTCACAAACTTGCCTTTAAATGCAATTTTTGATTCTCAAGAGTTTTTTTTCCTTCTCCTCTCTCCTCATCCCTCCTGTGTGCACATTTTTGTCTTCCTACTCTGTGAGATGCAGCATCTCGTATGTGCCCAAACACACAAAAGCAGCACTCCAGCGGGAGGAGCAGCCTTGGAGGCTTGGCATTGATACTGGGGCTGCTTTGGTCTGGCTGGGCAGGTCCTGTTGGCCAAGAGCATGGTTGGGGCAAGGCTTGGCACACGCTGTGCTATCCAGGCTCCTGTCCTTGGCAGTGGGGCTCTCATGTGGAGTTGCAGAGAGATGACTGCCGTTGTGGAGTTGTGGCTGGCTGCTGCTATTTGGTTGTCACCTTTGCTATATTGCTACAGCAAATGGTCAGCTCTGTGGGGTGTGGGGCAGGATGGTTGGGCATTTCCCCTTATTTGGATTTGTTTGCAAGCTGCTGCTCGTGGGGTTGATCTACACCAGGAGTCAGCAAGGGCAGGTGTAGGTGGGGATAAGGTGGAGAGTCTCTTCTGCTTTATTCTGGCCAGTTCTGGGGTGAGGCAGTTCTGCAATATACTTTTGGTGTGAAGAGGAGCCTCAGCCCAGCCTCCTTATGCCTGCAATAGCTGCTTTTTCCTTATAAATCTTGTTGCCTTTCTGTCTCAGGGCTGTAGAATATTGTTCTCTCTCCAGCACTGGGGACAGCAGTAAACTGCACCATGGTGCATTGGTAATCTCCAGTTCTCTGGACAGAAGGGGAAGGGGCAGCTTTGCCCTGGAGTGCTGGCTGGAGGGCTGTGGAGTTGCTGTCCCTTCCAAGGAAGCCAGCAGGATCGTGCCACAGGGCTCGTCCCTGCCCCGCTGAGCTGGTGGAAGCCTGGCCGGGAGCCCAGCACCTCCCCTGATAGCGGAGCTCCAGCTACAGTGAAAAATATGCATCTAAGGGACTGCTCTGCCTTTCTCCTGATTGCACTGAGCGCTCTGGTGCCTGTGATTGCCGTGGTCTTCCAGCAGCCAGTGCTAGAACCACGGCCCAGCTCCGGGAGCTGCAGAGCCGTGGCCCGAGGGGTCCCCGGCTGCGCATCCCTGGGGTGTCGAGGCACCACCGACCACTTCCAGGGAGGGCTGGGGGGCAGACGGTGCATCTGCCCCTGTGCCTCAGGGCGGGGTGCTGGGGGCCGCTGCTCCCACCCCAGCCTGGGGGCACA